GTCCGTGAGAAAAACATACTCATATGGACTGGTCTCAGTTCATATAGAAATTGTTGCACATTCATCAACAGAGATAAAATGAATATTAGCCCTCACCACACATATAAGTAGAGGTAAGTAGACCGCGCCCGCTGTTTTACACCAATAAATCGCGGCAAAGCGAAGGATTGCGACGATTCTTTGGTGCCCTGGAGTTAATCAATTTTACAACTTCCCGGAAAATTAAATAGCCCTTATCATTTTTGCGTCTTGTCTGAGAATTTTAAATCCCTGAACCAAATAACCTTTAACCTGTGATTATTTTTCTCAAGATCATGTCAGGCCAGAATAGCAATTGAAAGTCAGCGCACATCTTCTGTGTGTTTCCATAGTCGTTTCGTGATTAGCAACGTCACAACATGTGAAATATATTATCTAATGTTTGTCTCATTAATTGTTGTGGGTGCCAAGGTCACGTGAAACTCAGGTTAAGGTCATTTACTTGAAATGATCTCGGTTAACTTCCTTAAATTTACACCTTTTTACTGTGGTTTTTAGGAAGTGTTGGTTTGAAATTTAGCACCCATTTTAGCATTTGAAAACTAGGCATACTTAGGTATCAGTTATAATGCCTATGCAATATGATGCAAGGCTGTAAATGCTGGTTAACATTCTATATAGCCGGCAGAACGCCTAATGGGTGATCTGGCGTGACTCGTCCTACCCCAAATGCTTTGATACATCATCTTTGATCAAAGCAAGTGCAAATTCGGAGTCAGAAGCAAGCCAAGTCCCAGCAAACTTCACTTGTAGAAATTCTAGCAGGACCCAATTTTCCGTGCTTTTGGGTTATTAACCTGAGCTGGGAGGTCAACCAGTGACCTAGGATCTCAGCATTGACCAGGACATAAAAATAATTGGCTTTTTCTCGTCAGCGATGACCAGGACCCTCAAATCATCGGATTTCTCTCGTCACGAGCAACACGCTCTTTTTTATTTTTCAGCGAAGCTCTGGCTCTTTTTATCAAGGGCCGAATGGCTGAGGGTTTCTACGCCCCTCCGCTACATGTAAGACGCTGAAAAGAAATGCCTAAATAGGTGAGGTTTAAATATCGATTGCTTTTTAAGTGCCGAAGCCCGAAACACTTTAATTTACTTCGATAGCAGTTTTTAAGACCAACGAGCTCGAATAATATAACTTCTTGAACAATGTAAGCACCACATAAAATGAATCGTGAGAGAAGCGGCTCAAGATTAAGGAACTATGAGACACTTAATAAAAAACGGCATAGATTAGAAACTGCACCTAACTTGCACTGGTTTTTAAACCTTTTCGTTGCAGACTGGTAGATTAAATTTTAGGATTGATTTCAGCTGATGCTCAAATGGAGCTATTCATTCGTTCATTCATGCGACCATCCAATTCCATTCATAAAAGAAGCCAGTGACAAAATTGTTCATTTTAGATAAGTGTGAAATACAAACTCAATAAAAGTTTAATGATACGGCAAATTTGACAGCTTTTATAATGAACAGACAAATAACTTTAACGAATCAAGGTTGCGAGCCCCAAATAGGGGAGAGTGAGGTATAGATGAGCCAAGGCGCAAGTTTAGCCACCCCATGTTTCTCAGCTCCTACCGGTCCTATGGCGCTGATTGACTTGAGCTTCCATATGCCGTTCGCTTACGATGCTGCAGTCTTTCACGTGAGACGGCAACGTTCTCACGCTCAGCACCCGGTAACATGTGGTATCGCCCCTGATAACTAAGACATGTTTGGCTTTAAAATGAGATTGTTGTTATCTGCGGTGCATGGATATTTTCCTTAGCGGGTGTCATTAATCGAAAATGGCCACGGGTGGGGCAAGATGAGCCATTTTCACCTGGGGGAAGATGAGCCGGATAAGCCATTGATGTCTCCGCTGTCGAAAACCAAACTGAGCTGCGCTTGTTTCTGCTGAATAAAAATGGTAGGAAATTGTTTTTCTTTGTTGATTACACAAGTTGTAAGTGATTTGCAGATTATCTGAAGGATAAAATGATTTCTTCCGTGATAGAAAACTTGACGAGTTAATGGAAGGCTTAAAACAGTTACTTTTTGATGGAGGAAAAAAACTTTGCCATAAGTATGTATGCCATGGAGTAAATAAAAGAGCCCACTCTTCGCCGCGCCCGGGAAAAGAAGAGATTCGCTTTTTCCATCCATGCTCAACTTTCCCCACGACGTGTCTCAACTTACCCCGCCCATGGGGTAAGATGAGCAACGTGCAAGATGATTTTTGACGTAGCCTTTCAGTACAAAAATAAGCGGTATGAAACATTTCTGGCCACCATTACATGCGCAATGACCACTCTGTCCGTCCAACCCGTAAACGCAGAAAAATGATCAGTAAGGTAGCCTGTAGCTTACGAAAAACAAAAGCGGCTCAACTTACCTCATTCATCCCTACGTTACACAATTGAGGGCATTTTTTAGACCATCACAGTATTTGTCAACAATTGTTGTTTGGGGGGCTGGGGAGGGTGGTTACTGGCTCATACACTGTCCCCCCCCCCCCCAAATAAAAGAAAACGAAACCGATCATCCGCGAAAAGAACTATTGAGCTCGAACCAAGGTGACGAATCGATTTATAGGTATGCAGGATGACTAACGATGCCACTTTTTGACTTCTTGTGTCAAATAAATTCCATCATCTGGATAGCACGTCAACATTCTATTTGACATTTTACAACAAAGGTATACTATTTGGCGCGACTAGCCTCATAAATGTTCTGAAACTAAAACCGTTTCTTGGCAATTAACTTGGACCACGTCATCCCAGCTTATGCACGACAAAAATAAAATAATGCTTCAGGAACCTGGCCTGAATTCGAATGTTTAAAGTTTACTCAAAACGGGTGTGGCTGAGGCACTCTTCGCTACATCTCGTGACGGCCACCATTGTGTCGCATTTTTCGGTAAGCTATAAGTTAATAAGGAAAGGATTGGTGAGTGGGTTGAAAATAGCCCCCCCTCCACCCCCTCCTTCTTCTGGAAACATAAGTAATCGAAAGATCTGGCGATGGTTTATCCAGCTCCTCTGCCGCCGCGCTGCGAGGCCTCGATTCGTTCGGTATGTGGCTTCCTGAGCGGTCCTCCCCGGAGGCAAGGTGAAAGGTCATGGCCTGTATCAGAAATTTATACGTTGCTGAATATGTTTTATAGTTCTTCCAAGGCCTTGGACACCGTTTTATTATATCGGATAAACATTGCACTTTCTTGTCAATCAATACATTTAAAGAAAACTTGACCATAATCTTATACTGCGGCAATTGTAGTTCTGCTTACGGTTGCCTCTTTATGATACGGGCCACCACCACCTCCACTGCGCTGGAGCTCAGGCGTTCTACCCCTCCCCGCTACGGACCGGCCCTCGGGCTAGGTGTGTTAGTACTGAGCGCAAACCTGTAGTAGTCACGTGACTTTCATTCACGTAGCGGGAACGGAAGCTATAGGCGATACCAAGGACGGGCTCTGGGGAGGCAACCGGCGCGGAAAAATAGCACAATTGTAGTTTTGGAAGAATATCTGTTGCGGTAAGAGGAATTATACAAAACATACGTGCTAGGAGCAAACATGTGTTATTCCTCCATACTTTGCGCTACATTTCCTTTCTCCAATGGCCAGCACTTAGCAAATAATAGCGCAATTCTAAATTGGTAATATATGTGTACAGTAGCAACTGCGGGTCCCTGTACCTGCCATTGGCACCGTTTGCTATCGCCTGCGTAGTATCATAATTGGCTCGGCGGGGAAGCCTGCAAGTCTGACCGGACTCGGCGATCGGCGCGACCTTGGCCGGTCGGCAAATCGAATCAGAGTCGCGGCCAGCGACGCCCCACAGCGAAGCCCGATAGATGATTGACATGTGTTGGTACGGTGGCTGCCGCACGCCGCCACCGCCGCCGCTGCGCCACTGCCGCCGCTGCGCCACCACTGCCACCGCCGATAAACCCGCCGCCGCCGCCACCGCTGCCACCTGATTGCCGTCACCACGGTCAACCCATAGGTACGCTGTGGCTCTGTATTTCTACGCTTCATAGCTGACTAAGATGTTAGGTAGACGTACACCATTGGAGTCGGTGTAGGTACTTATATGTTCAGAAAATAGCAATGATTACCTAGATTATGTGGCAAATGCACAACATTTGCAACGCTCCATGGCTCCATGGCATCCTCTTGGTAGATGGGTATAAAGGCGAAACGAGTAGCTGCGCAATCTGGGATCACTCTGCACAGGCTGTCACTTTCTTGTGCATGTAGCTCATGCAATGACTGCGAATGGCGTCTTTGCCACCTCTGCAATGTGCACGCCCATCAACACCTGTGCTATGGTCTCAGTTTGTCCATCAACTGCTCATTGGATTCAGCTCACGGCGCCGGATGATTCATCTGAGCTTCCCTGACGACGTGGCTGACGGTCTGTGTGACGTGACCTGCCTCCGCCCCCTGCCGCCCTCGACTCGGCGCGGCTTCTGCTAGCTGTCGCTGAGATGTTACTCGGAGCGAGATCAATCCATTAGGCCTGCACAGGCCGATAATGCCATTCGGCGAGGATAAACAGCCTGGCGGCCGGTCACAGCCACCGACCCTGTTTATCGACGGAAGTGTATGTTTTGATAGTTCGCTCTGACTAAGTACGAACTGCACGGGACGCTGACACGGTTCGCCCCGGTCCGTGATAGCGACCTATCTCCACGTACGGTCATTGCTCAGCGGTACAGCGACCCGCTATCTCATCTGAGACACGCCAGGCGCCCCATTTGGGACCGTGCAGCCGAATCGTGTTTGCGGCGAGTCATTTGGCCGAGTTTTGGACGAGCAGCGCTTTAATGGTAGAGGAGGGATAACCGGTGTTGCCAACGGCAACCACGACGGACTTATGTATGTGTGGGGTCATTGTGCGGGCTGTACCGTGTTGTGGGAGTGCCGTCCCTGTCCGGCCCCGCTGACCCGATGTCGCCCCTCCTCTCCGCAGCGGCGGCGGACGCGTGCGCCGACGTGTCGTGTCTATCGACGGCCGAGGGCACTTCCCTATCTGGCTGTCCGGTGGACTCGGTGCTGAAACTGGCGCCGCCGGCCCGGCCCAACTGCTGTCCGTCTGTGGCCGAGTGTGTGTGTGACCTCGAGTCGTGCCCACGGCGGCCGCAGTGCGCGCACGGTCAGCCCACCCTGGTCCGCGCCGGAGACAGGAGGCCAGGCAGCTGCTGCAGCATCTGGGACTGCAAGGACAGCGCAGGTGAGAGCGCCGCGGTCAGAGGTCAACTGGGGTCACCGGAGATTAGCCAGAATGAATGTCGGGAGTGAGGGGGAGTACTGAGACCCAGCTGAGCGGCGGACTGTTAGAGGCCGCCCGGAACTCCGGTCATGAAATTTACCAGTCACCCTGGATCACCATCCATCAGCTGGGGCGGCGGGGTTCCGAGCTGCACAGCCCAACCTTGACCGAGATCATGATAACAGACCTCAAGTAGACTAGCATTGTAGCGATAATTAGACCCCTTTGACAGCTGACACTAAGCCCAGTTATGCTGTGTGTTCTCGAGTCCAATCAGATACCCTCAGCATGGTGTGATTGATCCTTTTTGTTTGATTAACCTTAATCTGCCGCCGTTTGTTGTTTCTGTTTGTCGCCGTAATTTTGCTTACCCTGTACCCCAAACTGAGTGTGAATACCAGCACCTAGCCGCCCTAACCCCGTCCCACACACCACTAACGCTCGGTGGCCGCGCCGCAGCCGCGCCCGCAGCCGCGCCCGCCGTGTCCGCGGCGCCGTGCACCAACGTGAGCTGTCCGCCGGCGGCGCCGTGTCCTGCGGACAGCTACCGGTCAGCCCCGGAGGGATGCTGTCCGGGCGCGTGCGTGTGCCAGCCGGCGCCGTGTCCTCTGCCGGCGTGTCCGGGCGGTGCGCGGCCCCGTGTCCTGATGGACGCGTCCGGACAGCCGGGCGCCTGCTGTCCCGTCTACCAGTGCGGTGAGTTGCTATTCCGTCTACCAGTGCGGTAGGTTAGAGGATCTCACCGGGTACCTGCTGCCCCGTCTACCACTGTGGTAGGTATAGCGACTGGGCACCTGCTGTCCCGTCTACATTCTAGTGCGGTAGGTATAGTGTAACCGAGCGCCTGCTGTCCCATCTACTAGTTAGTGCGGTAGGCATACCTACTGAGCGCCGCTGCCCCGTCTAATTTTGTTGTTTAACAGTGCGGATATGTTGCTGTTCCGTCTACCTGCGTGGTATGTTAGTGCTTCTCGCCGGCTGGACTGACTCGCCTCTCTGGAGGACAACTCCAGCGCTTTAGCGAGTCTTTCCTTGAATGGTAATTTGGCGTGGTGACGTGGTGATGACGTGTTTTATCAAAAATTGTCGATTTTATCTTTGTCTTGTTCATCGCTTACCGCAGCTGATCAATATGTCAGCGGAAAAGAAGCCATATCTCCAAGCATATAAAAGTTCTATTGATAGAAATTGTAAGAACCAATTGCATTTCTGCAATGGGATATTATTGTCGCTCCGTTGGATACATTATGAAGATCCTATTCATACCAATCCCTACAGAAATTTATCGACTCTAACGTAATCCCTTATACAGGGTGTCTCAAAAGTTCGTTTACACATTTTCCATGTCAATAAAGCATATAAGAATCGGCCAAAAATCTAAGGTTTTGGTGTCCGTGTGTACACTAGACAAATATGCATGCTTTGACAACTGATTCGGAAGGTTGGAAACCAAACCCTTTGCTGTATCTCCAAAAATATTTGCCCATACCGATTTTCGTCACTCCGTCAGCTGCCGGAGGCTGATAAAAGGTTACCAGCTTTCAAGCTCTTGTAGGGGAATCCCCCGCAGTTTCTGCGTCGGATTTAGGTTTGACGAGCTCCCCGGCAACATCCGCTTCTCCCTGAAAGCCGATAGCTTGCATCGACACCATCCGTGAGTATTTTGTAGGTCTTCTCTGGCGCTAACTCCTTCATGAATGACTGGCGCCGACCTCCCAAGCATCATTTTCCTTTTCAAAACAACCCCATTCCTGAACAAATGGGAAGTGCCAGGGGCAAATTTTTCGCAGCATATCGTAGCAGAATGTGTCGGCCATCTGTTTCTTAGACACATTTTGCAAAATTTGCAAATCCCGAACGCTCGTCATTCCCAATGCCAAGACCATCGCTGGGTTCCGGAGTGTTTTCCTCAGGAGAGGTTCTGCTTTGTAAACGGCCAAAACCTGTCCATCGTGCGGTTTTGTCCGGATTTCGTGTGTAAAAGAAAGCTATTTGCTCCAGATCTGCCTCTTGAAACTTCGTTAGATAAAACTTTACATTAATTGACACTTCTGGAGGGTCACTTGTCCTCGGCATTCACGATTTTTGCATTATTTTCCCTCAAAATTTAGCGTTATAGATATTATAAACAATTTTAAATGATATTTTGTCTTTATTTTATGATGACCTGCAATTTTTGAAACTGGGTAACCTCTGTCTGTGAGCTTCTAGTCAGTTTTCAATAGTTAGGACTGCATTTTCAGCTGCTTTCCGGAGCACGAGTCTGCTGCCGTACGAGGGTCGTTCAAAACGCTGTTAGTCTCGCATGGTTTTGTCCTTCAAAAATTTTAGCCACCGTTTTTATTAGATGATCATCATGTTGTACTCATCCTCGCCGACACTTTGCCATGTGTCATTTCCGACCTAACCATTCCCATTACTCGTGAAGCAGAGAGTTTCTCAGCCGACCCGAGTATGCGACCTCCATTTTCATGCCTGATCCATGGTCAGAGGTGAACCCTTTTTGTGAGCTCATGAAGGGTCGAATGCGCTTGAAAACAATGAAGCTGCTTGAGGAAGGTTGTTACCAATGCCCATGCAAAATTTCGACTGTTAATTTCATGTTGATTCAGAATTATTGACAAAAAAGCATGGCTGGTACCTGTAAGCGAACTTTTGAGACACCCTGTATTATATCGACACATCAACCCCTCTCTCTCTCTCTCTCTCTCTCTCTCTCTCTCTCTCTCTCTCTCTCTCTCTCTCTCTCTCTCTCTCTCTCTCTCTCTCTCTCTCTTTTGTATTTTTATACAAGATGAGTTGATATGTTGTCGTTAATGATAGAGCTGAGTCTCAGTATGACTAAACGACTTCTATCAACAAATTTGATTTGTTTTCTTTGGACATACAAGTTTTATACCGAGACGAAATGGTGTTATTTCGTTTCACACCCATAACGAAATTTTCGCATCACTTCAGCTCGTTCTAATACCGTAAACCATCGAACCTGCTTGGTTTTTTAACTAACCCTGCACAAAAAAAGCATAATAACGGCAATGTTCCCAATACGGTGAATCGTAAAAGATTCTCCGTTCTCGACCTCTATAATGACTGACATTGACATATTCTCCTCTCGGCAGAGGAGAACTCGACGTGCGTGCACCAGGGCAAACGGTACGAGGAGGGAGCCACGTGGCAGATGGACCAGTGCACCACGTGCCATTGCAAGGACGCCGTCAGCTTCTGCGACCAGCTACAGTGCCCCGAGCTGGGGCCGTGCCCCCAGGTGACCGACCCGGGCCAATGCTGTCCCCGCTGCATCGGTGAGTACTTTACTTACCTACAGTCCCACAGAGTACAGTCCACAGCAGAAGTAATGTGTGGTTTCAGTCATGGGTATGTTCTGCTTCTGAAGCTTAGGAACGATTAGCCAGACTACAATGAAACTTTGAATGCAGCTTATATGTATCGTCACCCTTGCAGCTGCAACTTTAGCTATTGACATCTTCTTTTCGATCACTCCGCATTAAACAATCGCCAGTCAAAGCCAACCGTTGAGATAGGTAAAACCCTACATTACTTTAGCGGTGGGCTGTACCAATGTAGCGTCAAGTAGTGGCAGTTAAGCTCCTGAGCTCAATCTTATGAATCCGTGAAATCGATATGGCAGCACTGGCTGACATTCAACTGCAGAAAACGGCTATCAATTAGTATATTGACGGCACCAAGGATTGTTCCGCTGAGTTGGAGAAGCATATGCTTATTTTGCTAGCATTGGTATCACTATTCACTATAAATGTTACCAAATTCCGTGAATAGAATAACACGCCCTTTATACCTATGATGGGGCCATTTGTTTTAATATCAAGTGACGCTTGGTGTTGCACTTCAGATTTTCCTAGTATCGCTAAATGTTAACAAGAAGACATCATATCCGTTTGAAGCACGCGCCGGGCCACCTAGCAACGAACTTTGGCTTTGTCTTTCGAGCAGCTATTGACCGGTCCCTACCTATGTTTGGCTCGGCAATCTGGCATGTTCTGCTAGTACATGCATTATGCGGGTCCCAACTGGTGCTATTTGAGGCAGATGCTTGACACCCGAGCACTGTTCCAAAGCCCTTTTTATGATCTTTAACTTTTGCCAGAGTTATAAAGAGCCGGTGTTGTAGCCGGGAAAAAATGACTTGCTGTTATTGAACCCTGGTCAGGGCGAGGATAGAGGTCTGCTTTTTGTGTCTTGCCAATAATGTCGAGCCGAAACTTCTCTAAAACAACTGTGGTGCGAAGATTAGTTACGACTCATTTCCATGGTCCATGGTAATACAGTGGTAAGCGGTGGCTGGCATTCAAAACAGTGTAGGAATCATTTGACATTTATTCTAAGGTCCATTACATTAGGTCCATTCTAAGGTCTGTGTACTTGCAGACACAACATAAACATGTTCTGGCCTCAGCCGAAGTTTGTGTACTCCAGATGTCTATTTCTATACAGAAATAAGTTATGTGTCACTTGTCCACCCCTCCAGTTTCTTCTCACACGATATGTGTCACAAAGTGGCATTTTTACACAAGCTAAAGGATGATGATTGATACTATCTGATTGATAGTATCTGCCACTCCGATCTGCGATTGCATCAGCTCTGTTGGGTAGCTGAGTAATCTGACACCGGGTCGGCCCGCTGCCGTGCAGCCGCTGTTGGTGTTGTGGCGCGTCCGTAACCGGTAACTCCCCGCTATCCCCGTATATCAGTCAACATGTCAGTCAACATATCAGTCACTCCGCCGTCTCTCATATTGGCCACCATCGGGTGCCCAATGTCGGATATTTGCATACAGATGAAACATGTGTCCGCTTCGACGGCAACACGACGAAAACAAACATCACATCTCAGTCAGTGTCGTTTAGCTGTTTGGCTGCTCACAAATTGTGTGGTAAATTGAACATTAAACTCGTGTTTAATGTCTTGCTGGATACGATTGAAATAACACGAAGTAGTAGAACGTAACAATTTAATTTTGATGCTCAACAATCGATTGGCAACGATAAGAATTAATCTTACAGTTATTCCTTCAACAAATTTATTTAATAGATTTATCATAAATGTTGTCTGCATCAACAAAACGCATAACTAATTGGTGTAGCTACAAGTGAGGGAGTATGTATCACTGGTTCTAATGAAGTGCTCGTAAGCCGGTGCCCATGTTCGTTGGCCCGGTTTCTGTGGTCACCCTTCACCCCGAGTCATTTCTCCGCGATTCATAATATGATCATTCATCCGAGTGGGCTAATTGCGTCATAAACCCAAATTGTATACACATCCCAGTGGGTAACGAGTGTGCTCTCGAATGTTATCGTCGGCGGTGTACGGGATACGCTCTCGTGGGGCCGCTCAACGTTACACTGCGACCGTCACGGCGTCACGGGGCGTGATACCTACTGCCCATGTAGGGGTCAGTGGCCTTTCTCAGCGCCGGGTCCATGCAATGTGAATGGCCTACATAGTCATATCCCCGTAGTAATAGTGAATGCCGGTGAAATAAGCGTGATTGTATCGATTAAGCAGAACACGAGCTTTCTATGAATACTAAAGGCCACTTAGTGACCCTTCGGCTTCTAAAGTCCGATTTGGCTGCCGCTACTCCACCCTTTGTGTCGAGTACGGCAAAAGCTAAATTCAGCTGGACTGCGGCCGAAGATGGCTGTCGTTCCATTCTCTGGTGCGCCCGTGCGACTGTCCGTTGTATCCGCAATACTCTCGGGTTATTTCACGAAACAGAGACGGGCGGACCGCAGCCCTGACCGTGAACCGGGTGCAGCATGCAGCTCCACCTCACGTATACCGTGGCGTGGCAGCGCTCTGAAGTTGCAGGGGTCACTGCAGACCCGTCAGCGGCCCCAACGGTCCCACATTGCTCGCGTCACCATCACCTTGCAACGGTCGTGCTGGCTCGCTACCGCTGCCAGCGCGACCTTGCCAAATATGGGAGGACCCGCCCGGACCCGCCTGGCTCGACTTCGACTAAACGGCCGTCCGGCCACTCCCCATGAGGGAGAGGGAGCGAGGGAAGGGAGGGAGTGATGTATTCATTGACCCGGAGACCTCGCAGGGAAGGGTTGGCGACTAGCGTCACATTTCGTGCCACCCCGGACTAACGATTAATGTCGCTGCCGCGCCGACTGCAGGGATGAATGATGGCAATAGTCATTTGTGCCTTGACGTGCGTGGGGCCCTGGCGGATATTACTTCAACCGCACCGGGCGCCCGAACACAGGCGATAGGGTATAATCCCGTGTAATTAGAGTGGAATTATGAACAGATACGACTGCACCGGGCGCGCCTGTCTGAATGGGGATGATTTAGCAGTATGGTGCAGTAGTGTTACGTCCACTGGGCTGGTGATGTCAGCAGAATGTTGCGATAACGGCACCGCCGCGGGTACGGCTGGTCTTTGGGAGCGGTCTGGGCGTCCCACAACTCCCCTCATAACATGCAGCTATGAGGGCAAGCGTCAGTGTAATTGACGCTAACTTGTGCCTTATTCACAGTTGGAGATAAAAGCATGTCACATAAAAATAGACGGTTTTAGAAGCTATACAATATACATTCATTGCAATTTCATGGTTATTTGTATTTAATAAAGTATCGCAAGACACTTTTTCTTTTACAAACAAGTAGCTCGTCCACAATGCTTGGTTAAAACAAAGATGTAGAAGCATGCATACTTCAAGCATGTTTACACTTATGTACATTTATGCATTATGCATGCATACTTACACGCATACACAGCGTAGAGTCGTACCTACATTCTCACATCTTTGCACTCAGTCTCCGTTGGAACGAGGCATCAGGCAGGGTACTGTCATTTCATGCGGCTATTTATAGACATGCAGCTTGTTGACACCGTATTTGAATTCCTTTATCTGTACCGAGAGCGCTGCTCGAGAGACACAAAGCCACCTATGTCTACACTTGTAGACGCTTGCTTATCGCCGCCTTACGACTGTGTTGCGGCTCTTTACGATGCTGCATAACACAGACGAACCGAGGTCGTAAATTGCACTTCCTCGTAAGAGTGCCATCCGTATACTGACTGGCATGTCATGTCTCGCATAAATGACGATCCAGTTGTCAGAAAGGTGCCTCAGCAACTCAATCGTAGGAGGTACTGGGAATATGGTTGGGCTTCTGCGGGGTTTATACGAAGGCCTATAAATAGCAACACTGCTAGAATTGAATGCATAATGATAGTAATTATTATTTCTGCTATCCCAGTGAGTGAGCAGTGGGCAGTGAGTCAGCTCAATGGCTTCGAGGAGCTACCCTTTATAATGTACAGAGTCTTGCCAGGGTTTATTTTGGTTTTATTCTTATTTCAGTTATTTTCATTTCGGCAAACGGTAATTGGAAAGTTTAGACCTTCTGCTAAACCATAGCGCTACAGAAACCACCGTTGATCACTTCATTTGCATGCCGAGATGTCGCTTATTGCAGAACTGTCTCAGCTTGTCGCTCCACTATACGGAGTGTCGTGTCGGAGTGAACTGCGGACCACCGTCCGGCCTAATGACGCCGTGACCCTTCGGGTGGGGACGGGGTCACATTACGTCACGCGTTCCGGCGCCCCACTGAGATCTCTGTGCCGCCGCCGCGAGCTTGTGGCTCGAGTCACCGGGGCGTGTCATCTAAGCCAGCCCACACTGACCAGGGGAGGAGGGGAGGGGGAGAGGCCCCTTCCGGTCAGTGTGCAATGTTTACCGTACGGCCGGGCCTCAGGCGAGATGGTACCGGAAGCCACCACTGCCGGTCCAGTGTCACCGGGAGCGCTGATTGCGGCCTCATTTAGATGTGGCGGTGTGTCGGAGCAGCTACACTGTGACGTAATGTGACTTGAAGCAATTACGTCTGTTTATTTAGTTAACTTTGTCATGCTTTCTTATGATTATGCTGATGTTTATTTTCATCTAATCTCGATTCTGCATATATGTGTGCACGGGACACAAAATTGTAACCTATTTCTTCTCTGAAAACGTACATAAGTGATGATACGAGTATAAGGTCATAACTCATAACGCTTCCGACCGGGAAGAGTTTCAGTTTGGAGAGAGGAGCTCGGTTGTTTCAGTGAGTAGAGCACATGTTTCAACGAAGACTCCGTCTCCATGGGCCTTGTTATCATGTATCCGACGGGATTGCTAGTACATGCCTCTTGTCGGAAGTGCAATACCTACATCACGGATGTACTGATACTAGGCCGAAAATAGACATGATGTATGCCGGCAATAAATGTCTTTTATTGTGCGTAACTCAAAGCGGGCGTTGAAGCTCGTCAGCTGCCAGTCGGCTTCGCTGAGATTTTGGTTTTACTGAATGCCTCCCACACGCCGTGGGCGGGTATGATTGAGAGGACCACTCGAGGCAGAGTTCCACTCCGTGTTTTCGCCACAGCCCAGCCGGGTCGGAGCGCTGCCGAGCTGACGTCACAGTCCCACTGTGCACGATGACGTCACGGTGGCGCTATCTGCGCGGTGACACGTGACGTAACGGCGAGTGGGTGTGACGCCGCCGGGATGTGACGGCGGTCCTATCTCGGCTGACGGGGCTGCAGGGGCGCGGCGGGGTGGTGGCGAACCGATCGGCAGCGTTCCTTGTTTGCGGTCGTTATTTTTGCTGACAGGACGGCGTCGGTAGCTGTTATGAGTAAGGAAAGTTTGACGTCCACAGGTGTAGGTATTGACAATTGATACCGTAAACAGAGCGTCACCTTTCGAGTTTCGGAAGAAAGTCCGTGCTGCATTCCACCCATGAGAATTTTCTCACATGTTTATTGAGAAATTTTATTACAAACATGCTGCCATCTGTCACTGACCTGTAATTCACAGGTTACTGCCATTGGCGCCATCACCTATTATTTCCACCCTTGACCTGGTAATGAGCACTGCTGGACTTGTCCCACAGCAATCACCATCACACATTCACTCCTAACCGTGACATGAACCCCGTCATACGTTTCAACAAAACTGTCACACACAAGACGGCGCACTGATGACCTTTGACCCTCCACAGACGGGTGCCTCTCTCGGTCGGGCGTGTTCCACAACAACAGCGAGCAGTGGGAGGAGGATGAGTGTACCACGTGCTCGTGCGCCGACAATGAGCTGCACTGCCACATCGCACAGTGCAACCCGCCCTGCAGGAACCCCGTCCACGTGCCCGGCCGCTGCTGCCCCGTCTGCAACCAAACAGGTCAGTGATATGTCAATGTAGCGTTCCGTTTTCCATGGATCATGGAATAGAACTTCAAGTTGTAACATCACTCAAAGCTTTGCACTGATGTGATGTGTGTGTTTGTATTGCTCACTGTTGATATACCGTAGGATGCTTGCAATAGCTTCATATTGCCACTTCTCAGGGGCCAATTATCATCGGCCACATTTCATTTATGGATTCAAGTATTCGTAAATGCTACACAGAGTATCGCTAAGTGTGTTTTATAATTATATTACCTTCGTTTTAACTTTTACCGGAATAATATCGCATGTCGCGTCGGGCCGTATGGATAGTATCAACTTCTGTCCCTAGATGGCAGTCAAGTCGTGCGCCTGAAGGTATACTGTGCCGCACGATCCGTGCGGGCATTCACACGGGGATGGCGCAGCGGAAACATCGGAAAATGACGGAAACTTATGAATATTTCACCGTTACGGTTGAAATGTGATGCCTGGTATATGTTATGAAAGAAAATATGAAATTCATTCATTGCAGCTTTCAAAAACAGTGCTGTTTTTCTGAATGGCAGCATGCGCGTGGGTGATGACTGACGACTTCGAGGGACGGGGCAGACCACTCCCGCGGGGATTGTACGAACGCCGCCGGCCATCGCACCGCCAAACGGGACCGCAGCACTACAAATAAATAGCGGTTCCAGTGAAATGAGCGGTGATTATTTGCCGGCCTGGTGGCGGCGTATGTGACGCGGCCGTGCCGTTTGTTGTTTCAGAGTGCGCCGTGGTGTGCGAGCACGGATACCGAACGGACAGCAAGGGCAGGCCGCTGTGCGAGTGTGTGACGGCCGCCCAGCCGGAGCCAAAGCTACAGCCGCCGCCGGAGCCGACACCAAAGCCACAGCCGCGCTGCCGCGACATGAGCTCCTGCAAGAAACAGTGTCCCCACGGCTTCAAAGTGAACTCCAAAGGCTGTGCGAGGTAGGCAGCCGGCCGTTCGTTACGTGTGTAGAAAAATGTGGATGCAGATTTCTGGATATTTTTATTTTCCACGCCGTTTGAAACACGGTGACTCAACACAGTGACACACGATTTATCAACCTTTGCCCGAAAGTCGCAGTACCCATGCTTTTACTATCGTGAGCCGAACTCCTGCTCGAAACTATACTCCTGGTCGAGGTCCCCTAGTTAGCTCTTGACTGCAGTCATGTCTGCCAGTGATGGATGGAAACGGCAGTGATTCTGTCTTTTAGAGCACCTTTTCAGTTCTGACCATCTCCCCCCCCCCCCCCCCGCCAGGTGTAAGTGCCACCACTGCCGCCGTCTGAAGGGCTGTCCTCTCACCTGCCCTCTGGACGTGAACGACCGAGGCTGCACTGTGTGCCGGTGTCGGGAGGGGGCGACCGGCTTCCCGGCGCCGGTCACCACTCCGACTCCGACTCCGACTCCGACTCCGACTCCGACTCCGACCGTGCACAGACTCAGCTGTGTGTCTACAGGTACGGTCTGAACTGAGGGGTCCCGGGGGTCACCACTCAGTACTCACCACCTAGTTCTGCAGATTTCCTGGATTTTTTTTTTTCTCGATACATTGCCATTTCATTTCGTGAGTCACAATTTAACGCAAAATGAAACTTTCGTGGTAAGGAACTGCATGAGACTGTAATTTCCCAAATTAATTTACAAGTCAGGGCCAGACTGTCGGAAAGGAAGGATCATTGACCATTTCGTTTTAATGCTGGGTATTAAATGAACTCAAAGTTCTTACAAAAGGGTCGTTACTATGCCACCAAACTCAGCTCATCCATGCCCCCCCCCCCCCGCAGCGGGCGAGGTGCACGCGCCAGGAGCCTCCTGGGACGACGGCTGCCGCCAGTGTTATTGTCAACAGGGCACTGAGATGTGCTCTATGATCGCGTGCGCGGTGCCCGCCTGCGAACACCCCGAGATCGAGCCCGGCCAGTGCTGCCCTACGTGTCCCGGTAAGACGGCCGCCAGTGGCGGACGGCCACGGGTTGGGTGTCGGGGTAGGTTTGGTAAAAGAAAGGCGGGAAACGTTGATGCGAGGCAGTAATGCAATCGTGAAATTACATTCGGCGAACTGCGAAGTGTTGGGCACTTTTGGGTCAGTGTTAAAGCCAGAGTAACATACTTGTAGTTTTCATTCACCTCTATGCTGCTTTATTCACATTGAATTCGGTCAAACTGCGTCGACTCCACGCATTAATTGTTCTGAAATAACTGACGCTTAGAACTGGTTGTTTCAGATGACTCTGTGGTGCCTTCACGTCACGTGAACCTGACAGTGTGCCTGTCGGCGACGGGCGGCACTTATCTGGAGGGTCAGACCTGGCACCTGGACAGCTGCACGAGCTGTTTGTGCCGCGGAGGCCGAGTGCTCTGCAGTCACCCGGTCTGCCCGCCGGCCGCCTGTCCCCAACCCGAGCGGCGGCCCGGCCACTGCTGCCCGATCTGTCCCGGCCGCTCGCCGACAGGTGGCAGCACCGAGCCGCCGCCAGAGAGCAGGCGCGGCGGCCGGGCGTGTGCCGCCGGGCCGGGCCCCTCCTGGCCGGACGGCGCCGCCTGGAGGAGCAGCGCCTGCGTCAGCTGCCGCTGCCGGAACGGCGCCACCCGCTGCTACCACGAGCGCTGTCCGAAACTCAGCTGCGAGCGGCCGGTGCTCAGCAAGGGCCGCTGCTGCCCTCACTGCATCGGTTCGTACCAGACATAGCAGACTACCGGTGTCACACACGGAGACGACTTTCCTTCCATTCCGCTTTAGTAATATGGATCAAATAGCCTTGCCATAAACTAGCATGAATTATATATTATTCTTAGATAATATTCACGTGCCCTATACAATCGGTCCCATAAATAGTTTGGCGTAACATGTCACAATCATTTTTCTTCCTTCCCACAGAGGCCACCCGCGACGGCAGCTGTTTCCTTGGTAACCGTACATTGGCCTCGGGCGAGTCGTGGCAGGTAGACGCCTGTAAGAGCTGCGTGTGCCGAGCCGGTCAGCTCAGCTGCGCCCAGAAGGTCTGTTCGACCGCGTGCCGCGGCCCGGTCCCCGCCGGCCACTGCTGTCCCGTCTGCAAAGGTGAGACAGCTGCAGAAGATACCAGTCCGTCTGCGACGACGAAAAAATTTGAAAGTATACTCAAAAGAGCTGTAATTAATGGTTTGCTTTTCGTTTCAAATGTCATCGTTTAATCATCTGTAGCCTGTAGGTGCAGACCTCCTCGGTCTAAAAACGACAATTCGTGCCTATTTCCTTCGTATATTCTTTGCACAGCCGATCAGGCTTTTCCAGCAAAATATCAGTGATTCCTTCGGATTTTCGGCCACACCTCCGCACGCTCCCGTTTTCAGAGGACGTTTCGACCAGCAGCTCCCGTCACAACTATCCGTTCCTGAACGGTACCAGTAAGGTGGCGCACCGTATCCGGGTTCCGGACCCGCCGACCGAGACTCCGGAGCCGGACCCCGAGGAGACGGGTGAGTGCCGGTAGAGTGCCGCTTCGTGGGTGTCCGGGCACTCACATATTCCTGCGGAATCTGGTAATAGCTGGTCGGAGCCAGCCAGAGGCAGGGCGGGAACGAAGTACGGTCCCCTGGCGGCCAACGCTAGTACTATTAGTTCAAACTCTGTCCATAGATGGCGATACTTGTCAGCGCCTGATAGTTATACTGTGCCGCATTACGTTGCCTCAAATCTTCCTTGTTATAAGGCGCGGAGTGGGCAGTGAATTGAACGTTACCCTGCCGTTTCTCGTACCGCTGACTGACGCCGTCTCCTTATGTCCACCTCACAGACGGAGCCGAGCTCACGCTGGTCCAGAAGTTGCTCATTTCGGGGCTGAGCGTACTCACCCTGGTGCTCCTGATAGCCGTGTGTGGCCTCTGCTTTTGTAAGGTACGCAAGAGCAACCGTTTCACGCCCAAAAAGCAGCCCCTCCAGGTGCTGGCTGAGGAGGAGAAGAAGCCACTGAACGGCGCGCAGACGCTCGACTGTTCAGCTCCGCTGAGCACCATCAGCTCGCCGCTGCGTCCGCCTGAGACGGTCATTGGCATGCGATGAGCGCCGCCAGCGCGCGCCCTGCCTTGCCACGTCATTGTATATACTTCATTGTGGGCGCCGCAACGGGGAGGGGTCATGGCTACTTTAAGGATCAAAGCGATTTTGTTCTTGTTTCAAAGTCAGAAGCAAAAGTAGTTGCCTATTAGCTAATGGTAGGATCTGCTAAAGAGTTTGTGTAGTTGGTTGCTTGACTTATCAAAAAGTGATACGTAAGTAGCTCTGCTCCTCCCAGTTGCCGGGACGCCCCTACGTTCATGTAGTCTACCACTGATGGGTTTTTAGAGCCGTCCCGCCAGACTTGTGTCCGCTTCCACTTGACTTGGCTGGCATTCAACGTCCGCGGTGCTCCCGAAGGAACTGAAATTCGAGGCCCGTTCCAGCCATAAAAATCGGTGACTTTTAATCGAACTGCCAACGCGGAGCTTTAACCCTATTCCTGGCGGGCTCCGCCGGGACAAGAAACTGGCGGGGGGGGGCCGATTCGGCCCCCCCCTGAGATCTCGAGAACGAAGCAAGATAGCGACAAACGGTAAACGGCATCGGATACGCACGGTCAAGATCTACAATTTTTACTAAGGTCATTTTCAGGTCAGGTCAAAGATGACGTCACAGGGGTCGAAAGAGTCAAAATGGCGGCGCTAGATATGGAGAGAGCTTTTCTCGAATAACTTTCGAATTAGTCAAGATAGGAACAAACTAAGGGCATCATCGTGATCCTCTCGTCAATCCGCATCGAATGATATATATGTTGACCTCGCAAGGTCAAGGTCAAAGGTTGACCTCAGGTCACGTGACCTCGAGGTCATCATGTATATCATTCGATGCGTCTTGACGAGCTGAACACAATGAGACCATCCACGCGTCTGTATCTTGTTCCTGTACGGAGTTATTGGCCAAAAACCTTTGGTGACCTTTGATGACGTCACATGACCTCACAGCTGCCCAACAGCAAAACAGACCTCAAGGTAGTGAAGGTTGATCGTATATGAAGTCATGTATGGTATATGGGGCCATTCCGACCCGTTTTAGTGGTAAAAACAGGGAGTTGATTTTTCCCCCATTGACTTATAATGGGGAGGTCGCGAAACTGACCTGACCTTAGGTCACCGATATCAAAATTCCGAGATATACAAATTGCACATACTGGTACCCTAACTAAAGCCTGAAGAGAAGAAATTGATCGGTCAAAAACTCTAGCTCTGGCGTGATTGCAAACTTTTCTGAGGTAGGGTCACGAAACCGCCTCTGGTGACCTGACCTGAGGTCAGATCAACTCAAAATTTTCAGACATGTTGCATAGAAGCCTGTTAGGAAAAGTCAGAAAATTTGAGCTTCCTAGCTCAACGCGTTTGGGAGAAATAACCAAAAAACCTCAGGGGGGGGGCTCCTGAGGCCCCCCCCCCCCCCGCCAGGAATAGGGTTAAGTCGCTCGATTTTGATGCTGATTCTGCTTCTGGTTAAACCTGATTAATTTTAAGCTATGGACAAAATTTTAACATATCTACAAGATTTTAGCATCTTATAAGACTTGGGGCCAAAAACAAAAAATAATAGAGAATCACGGATATGACGCCACATTTGTGATCGTTATGGGGCCTCTCTGCTTCTCGAGTGCAGCCGGCACAAGTCTGACCGCGGGGCGGCGCCGGCGGCGACCGGCCGCCGAGCGGTGTGGTGACCTTTGTCTGTGATAATGGCCCCGAATACATGGACAAGGAAATACGTATCACGAACGGGTTTTCCTTATTTGTTATCCGTTTGTAATACGCTTTTACTCTGCCCATGTATTCCTGGTCAATGCCTCTCGCCTGCGACCGTGGCGGCCTTCAACAGTACTCCGACGGACAGCGCGTGTGTATAACAACTGTGTACCGCCCGAGCTGCATGCTGTGGGGTGGTCTGCGCACGCGCGAACTCGGAGCTTCAGATGAATATTTCCTTCGGAAAGTGTTTTGAGCTCGCTGATGTGACGTTTCCATGGCGTTTCCATGTGCGGTCCTAGAGCCAGGACCTCTACATAAGTGTATATTCTGTAGGTAGTGGTTAACAATAAGGCGCCGTTCTTCGATATCGCTATATTTTCAGTTACTATGTTTTCAGATGTGCCAATAGATTCGGTTCGGTATTGTATCTGTGTAAAATGAGCTGCCTAGCGTACTCGCCTTAGTGCTGAGCTCGCAGAATGGTATTATCGAGCTGTCGTACGAGTATTTATGACAACACCAGTGTGTTGTGTCAATACACTGCAATAAAATCCAATAATACCTTTGTGTGCAACAAAATGCATCTTGACGCTCGCCCTTATGTATAGGGGAGGGGGCGGAAGGTCGAACAAACTTCCGGTTTTTGTTGACCATGGGAGATATAACATTCCCTCACATACAAATAATAAAACAAGACACAATTTTCTCACGCTTACAGACTGCAAGCATCCAGACGCTTCAGACAAACGAAATTTACCCAGCGCCAACCAGCCTCCCGACTGCATATCGTCTACTGCGCCGCAGAGATCCCAACAGCCACCTCCAGACAGCACTAACCGTCACCAAACAGTTCGTCAGACCACTATCACCCACCTCCGGCGACCCCGCCGGTCTACACACACCCGTCGAAGGTCTCGACGGGTCTCAGGACGCGGCGGAAGTCACCGCTGCCGACGAATCGACTGCTGTCCGTCTCCCGGAAGGGCGGTGGGGGACGATACGGGACGCTCGCGTGTACCGAGGATAGGAGTGGAGGTAGTAGGTGTGCAGTCGGAGGCCGGAACCTGCCGATGGGGGGGGGAGGGGGCAGTGTGAGACGGTGGAGGAAGAGGAAGAGGGATGTGATCGGTGCGGGGCAGGAGAGAGACAGTGCTGATTGGTGAGGAGCAATGTGATACGGGACTGGTTTTGGTATGATTGGCTACTAGTACTGACTTACAGGAACACAGCGGGAAGGAACAGCAGGGCAAACGAATAGACAGAAACATAAATCTGTGGAACAACAAGGGCCAATGACTATGAACCACAATGCCTTCCGTGCACACTTGGCAACTACCCACTGAGGCAACAGGTACTCAGTCGCTAATGCTGCGGCTATTTACGGCTACTGTGGCTACTCAGGGCTCCTTGCACACCATACGGCTCCCCACGGCTACTTCAGCTACTCACGGCTGTTCGGAGACACAGTGCACCTTGGCCAGTCGCCTCTGGTCGCGCACGGCCGCCTCTGTGTTCTCGAACGGCTCAGCGGTGCGCAGAGACTGACAGGGCCGCCGACTGAGGCGGCGGCGCAGCTCCAGCGGCGGCAGAAACGGGCCCTGGCGAACGAGCGACGACAGGTGAGCGACTGTGCGGTAGCTCAATATCTAGCTCGGTGTCGAACATCTCAAACGAATTCATAGAAAATAAGATATAGCTAAAGAAGAAAAACATAAGAAAAGTTTGATGTTTTGACAAAGTAATATCATAACTTTGCGAAATAAGCTGATCTATGCAACTAAACCTACCTGCAATTTGGAAGCCCCCCATGCGGATTTATCGTCTTCTACTTTGTCTTCGGGTTTGGTTTTGGGTTTCTTCGTTGGACGAACCGGGAACCGAATGCTGGCCAAATGCTTCTCGATACCAATCCTCTCCCTGTGTAAGGACGATCGTTATGACATCAGTTAAATATTATTTTATCACTATGCTGTAAAATTTCAAAGGCATGCAAGATAACGTCTCCTTAACCATCATACATTACCTACGGCACAACGTAATCGCTACTCCAATCCTTGTATTCTTATCATTCAACTCAATGGCCTAAGTCCAGGCAGTACCAAAAGTTCTAGCACTGGCCTACTTACGAGTAGGCCAGTGCTAGCACTCTAGCACTCTAGCACTCGTATACCAGCTTATTAGGAGCTAATAAGCACGTGCCTGCAGCCTCAGCCCGTCTGAGAAGCCGCTGTAACTGACCGCACCTGTGATATGGTGAGTTGTAGACGCCCGGTATCGTCTTAGTGCTGATCATGTGGTGTGTCTTGATGAGCGTCTTCTGCTGTAGGATCTCCGAGGAGCAGACCGTCTTCCGCTCCTCACTCAGCCGTCGACACTCCAGGGCGCACTGAACCCTGTCAGGAGAAAACCGAGAACACGTTAAATCCTTGCGATTGGAACCTATTGAACACACTGGGTAGTAGCAAATTGCACGGCCAAACCTTGTCGAGCAAAAGTTACCGAAAATAATTCTCGACAATCAGGAGCATGAATAAATAAGTCTAAGACATCACAGCTTGCCTCGCACAGCGGCATACTAGCATAAATACCTCAGCTCATCATTCTGGTCGGCCACGAAGTTCAGGTAGCCCTTCCACTCGGCAAAGTTGAACACGAAGAGGCGCGAGCGAAAACCGCGCCATGTTTTCTGGATCAGGGTCGCCTGTCTCCTGTAATAGTCGGCCTGCGCTCGCAGTACAGTCTCCTGAAAAACAAAGAGAGATGGCCAACAGCATGCTATCGTAAACGGTAAAACAGACGCTTGAAAGTCAGCAATGGAATGCAATCGGTGCTTGTAGGTGCAGCGCTCTTCGGGTTTTAATGCTCAAATGCCTACTTGATCATGGAAGATCATTACACACACACACGTTGAGGCTCTCAGATGTCGTTAACAGAGGACAGATGAGCTAGTTAATCACAAGCTTCATGTTCTTCCGTGTCCGGTGTCCCACCTGGAGCAGCCGGCGGTAGTATCGTCGGCCCAGGTAGCCCCGCCAGTGGCGCTGGATCACGGCCGCCAGCTGGTGTAGACGACGCAGCCGGTCCCGAATACGGTACCCGCGCACCCAGCTCTGCAGTCGCACGGCCGCCCGGTACTCCCTGGCCCGGTCCGTGTCGGCCTCACTGAGGGAGAGGACAGGACAGGACAGGACAGGACAGGACAGGACGGGACAGGACAGGACAGGACAGGACGGGACAGGACAGGACAGGACAGGACAGTCACACCACACGGCCGCCCCGTACTCCCTGGCCCGGTCCGTGTCCGCCTCACTGGGGGAGAGGGGGGGAGGGCAGGACAGGACAGGACGGGACAGGACAAGACAACAACACCACACGGCGCACCACCTTACATACATACGTCAGTCATGACGCTACAGCAGCATTGAAACCGAGATGGAAAAAGACGTGTTAAGCCTTCAACTCATTAACAGCATTACTCAAAGACACGCGGATAGTTGAATACTTACTGATGTCTCAAGACGACGAGCTCAGGAAATGTATCCAATTGAACAACGAGTCTCTGATATGTTGTCATGGTGTCCAGCTGGGCGACATACGAGCATTTCGATCTTGCACCCTATTTCATTGTTGAAAGACTACATATCTTTGATCTGTACCTATCATAAGTAAACATCTAAAAGCATAATAGTTTAATGTGTAGCCTATCGTTTGCCTAAGCATGTCGCAAAATGTAGCAATGCGGCACATATGTATCAGAAAATGAGTTTATGAGCCATATGCTCGCGAGTTTACAACGATGACGACCTCCATATTGATGTGCTCGATTACCACCTTCCCAACCGTGGCCACGACCCCTATACCGCTATCAAGATCCGCCTTTGATACAAAATGCACTATCCTATGGAACCGAAGAGTCGCGTTAGAAAATTTAAAAGACGTCAACACACGCTCCCTAGTTCACAGAGATCTTTATTGACACAATTCTTTCTATCTGCATTGTTAAACCAGATAAGGACTTAAAGCTACTTCAGATGGAAAGTAAAGTGCACCTTCGAGTACTCGAGAGAAATACCAATGAATTGCAGAAGTAACGAATGATAGTAAGCGTCGAGCTGGAAGCAGCGTCTACCTTTGCTTCTCAGAGGCATAGAAAACACGATCTTGTGGTGACGAGCAAAAATGACCACGTCACAGTACAATGTCCACATTACTTAATAACTGGTGAGCACCGCACGCTTCACCGGCTTCATCCTTTGTTGAAGTCTGTACGATGAGACAGAAACTAGACAGGTACACGGGACAACTGCTGGGTCACTCAGCGACAATTCACACCGTATGTAAACACAACAACTGAATCTGACACAAACCCACTTCATCAGTTGTCCAATAAAAGTCACGGCTTCACACGTCTGTCAGTCACACCGCATTATCTTCTGTTATTCTGTCATCCGAGATTACTTGATCTCTTACATTATATTCCCACAGAACAAGCACGACGCACACCACATATTGAAGACACGTCATCTGTCCACCACACCACCCTGCAATCACCAGTTCACATCACCGCTCACACTGAACTCTGTTTGTAGTTTTTCGTGTCGAGCAGCTTCTTACCGCACATGGCGCAGATGCCTTTCTTGTAGGCGCACGCCTGACAGTAGTGTGAGCCCACCTGGTGCACCTTTGTGCGGCAGATGCGACACGCGGTGAACGAGCCGCTCGAGTACGGGCTGAAGCGGTTCTTGTTGGAGGTGAGCGCCTTGTTTTCGCCCACCTTTCGGCCGCCCCCCTCTGTGGTGTTCCGTGCGCCCGACTTCCACACGTCTGGCGTGATCACCTTGCCGAGCTTCTTCTGACACTTGTCGCACACCATGTTGGTTAGTCTGATGTCTGTGGGACGGAGGAAAAGATGGTCAGCACACTGACGGGAGATGAACAGGCGAACACTCCTTAATATGTATGACGCAGTCATGTGGATCTTTCGCGCATTTCAAGAAAGTATGCAAAAGGTCAGTAGATAAGGCAAAACATTACAAATGCAGTTTTTGCTTTGATGATTGCCCAAGCTGAACACCGTCGATGTGAAGGTGACAAAGGTGAGGCTGATGAGCTGATGAGGCATCGATGTGAAAGTGACAAAGGTGAGGAACAGCTGAAAGGGAGGAGCTGATGAGGAACACATAGATGGGGCAGTACACTGCAAGATTACTTTACCAATAGTACACTACACTGTAGTGTCCGTATTGAAGGCTTTTTCACCTGCTAGTGCGGGAACTCTGACCAAGGATGAGGCGAGCTACTGAGGACGAGGCAGAGGAAATTTGAGGGGGAAAAAACGAAACAAAACAGAACCTGCAACAAAAAAATCAAGCATAGGATGTTATGAAACGCAATGTGCTGAATATTGCGACGATGTAGGTTTCCTAGAACCCCAATGATGTAATATGCTGATGTCATTGTCAGTTCAAAATATAACAGTTTCAAAGTAAAAAAGTGATATAATGACTCCTATGAGTCCTACTTAGCTGACTCAGATACATGCCCACCGAGGTTTACCACAAAACAATGAGCGACCCAGTTTCAGTCTCATCTGCTCACAGTGCAAAATCTTTCTTTAAGTTATTTCATGTTTATTCAAAATACAGTATTGGTCAATGGTTCAGATGTACATTTTTTTCCAAATTTGTCAACACTTCACTTTCGACAACCAAAGGTAACGAATAAGACATCTCGACCAGTTGTGTAGGCATACACGCGTCACGCAAACATGATCCCCTACCCAAACAAGCTTTAACACTCGCAGCTATAAAGTCGTCGGCCCAAAAGCACATTCAGGAAATAGGCGGAACAGGCTGACGTCCAGAGAACAAATACTCAAACAAGATTCCACGGTCACTAAGAAAACAACTGTAATAAAATGCAGTTAATAAAGATGTAAAATCACTTATGAGATATTGACTGCTCTCACATAAGAAAGCGTCTTGACGCTGGGATTGTGCTCAGTAACGCACATATCAGGCGATCGCGCTTCAGAGGAAGACTTCACCGACACACTGTGTAAATGTCCCTCGGTCTGCAATTCAATTGTTGATTACTGCAGCGTCGATGCACATAATACATCATTATATTGCTATAATTATATCTCAGGTATTCCACGTAGGTAATTGCCACACTAGTATATGCATACACTTTCAAATCATCCTTCAAAGCCAATCATTTCGAATCAATTGCACCTGATCTTGACTGGCCACAGGACAAGTGCCTTGTCGACTTCGAGTGCAAAGCGTTATACTTCAACCATGCAGTCCATCACATGACAACACTAGCTGACCGATGGTAAATCACCAAAGTTGAGTCTCAGCTGCTCCAGGAAGACGAACATGAGCACCGTGTGCGGTCCCAGTCGAACAAAGCGCGGCACGTAGCCTCTGAAGAAGCCCCGCGGTCCCAGCTTGGCCGTGTGTGTGATGATGTGCCACATGCCCCGAAACTCTCCCTGTTTGGCGTTCATAGTGACGGTCTTGATGACGTCCACCGGCTGCGTCATCGTGGTGGCGATGCCGCCCGCGATCAGACTGGCCGTGAAGTGGGCGGTGACGTCGTCGGCAAAGTAGCCGGTGCGCAGCAGTGTCTGTTTGACCTGGTCGTAGAAGCTGAGCTGTCCCACGGTCATCAGAATGGCTCTGGCGGTGGCGGTGGTGCCGCCGGCGAACAGAGTCCTCACGCCCTCCTCTCGCAGCACGCGGATCAAACCGTCCACAGCGTGTTTATAGTTGCGGCGCTTGTCGGGGGCTAGTATTACGTCATTCTGCATGCGTACGTTAATCATGTCGGCCGGCGATCCTATCAGGCCTCCGCACGCGCCACTGCCGGCCGCGATCAGCATCTTCATGTGGAACGGCACCGGCTGGCCGGGCGAGAAGAGCTGCTGTTTGGCGGCCTCGTAGGCGGCGAAACGGAACGTGGAGTAGGTCAGCTGCCGGAGGAGTGCCGCAGAAAGGCCGCTGTACAGGGCGAGCACGCCCTGGCTGCGGACAATGTTCACCACATTGCGGCCGACACTCAGCTTCTTCTGCTGAGTTTGAAGGTGCACCTTAAGCAGGTCAAGTGGATGAGTAAAGCAAGCGGCTCCAGCTGATGCGAGTCCGCCGAAGTACCACTTGGAGATACGAGCTTTATTAGCCATAGCCGACAGACTTTTTTCTCTAGAATGAGAGAATGCTTGTGTCAACAATATTCTTACGGCTAGATTGTTGTGCAGGTGATGACTTTGTACCCAACTGCATCCACTTTTACTGCAACATGGCAGCCATCCTCAACAATGAGCTTGAAACCAAATGCAGTATGCGGACCTAAAGTAAATAAATACCACATCAACTGACAACTAGTGGTGACCACTGACCACCGATCCATAATAAAGCTCTCAACTTGAACCATGGATGCAATTCCAGGCTGCAAAGCATAGCAGCAACACCATTGGGGTCCAAGCTGAAAAGTGAAAATCCATACCAGCCATGACAGCCAACACCAAACAAAAGCCTTGGATTTTTGCTATAGAAGTAAGAAGTTCTAAATCTACACTGGCCCACTGGACTGCAAAGCGTGCCACGTGCGTCGTGCACGCTGAAGTGCACCCAACTTGATGGGAGTGCCCGCCTGGCAAGTAGGAGCAGACACATTTATCCATAATTTGCATGCTTGACACACAGTGTGTCAATATTATGTTCTAGACTCAGCACAAGTAAAACAAAGCCAAACATCACAGCAAAACAAGCAAGGCCCTATTGAAAAGGTCCGATACTTTCAAATTTCAATATCAAATTCAGTCAGCAGTCTTCCATAAAACCACTTGTGTTAATACAGATTTCCAATAGTTCTACACATGCAAGGAATCCTATCTACATAAACTTTTGTTGTTTCGAATATTTATTTTCTTTTGAGGCAAATTGACTTGATGAAATTGAAATTATGCGTATTTTGGCTTATGGGCAGGTTGTCACCCTGTATGCAGGCATCGGTAGGATTGTGATTGCAGGATTGCAAAATCCTGATTGCATTCCTTTTTGGTGGATTGCACCTGGATTTGAAATCCATTCCAAAAAACAGGATTTGATTGCGGATTGGATTGCATCATACTTCCAATTTTTGCAATCCAATCTGGATTGTGTTTGATTAGTGCTTTGAAATGGTTTGTTGCGATTGAAAATTATGAGATCGGCTTCATCGGCCTAATGTACTTTGCTATCAAGGGCTTTATATCGAAACTTGAAATAATTTAAACGCTTTTAATTTAAACGCCCAAAATAATATACGCTGATGAACTACATAGGAAGGGCAAAATTACGTATTTGAGGGCGAGTTTTAAAAATATAAAACAGTGGTTGGGTAGAAGTTTAAATGTGGGGGTGTTTAAGGCAAAAATATTTCCCATAAAATACCTGTGCCTTAGATAGGAGTTACTCGCAATACTAGGTACTACAAATGGGTGATTTGGGGATGGAAGCACGGCCCTATGCCCCCCTCCCTCCCCCAGATCCACTAGTGCACATAATAATACAACAGGATTGCAAAAAAGGATTGCGGATTTGATCACAATCCAAGTGAAAAAAGGGGATTGCGGGTAGGAATGCAATCCACTTCGGCACTAGGAATGTGGATTGGGAATGCAATCCTTTCAAAAAGGATTTCACCGATGCCTGCCTGTATGTAGTCATTTACTGGCATTTTTACATCAAATACAGGATATTAGCTATGCATAATTTACAATTTTATTAGAAAAATCAACAAAAACAAAGGCAAAAGACAAATTTTCACAACCTAGCCCGCGCCGTTTCTGGGTTTCTGCACAATATTGCTTAAAGGGACCCTCCCACCTTCAAAAAAGTGGACATGCCTAAGAGCTGGACTTTTTGCACGCGTTCCCCGCCAGGGGGCGCCACTGAGGAAGCACCCTCTGACGTCACGATAAAACTGCGCGCACTGTGCGCACGGTTCTGTAAGCAAGTAATATAGTGGTGGTTTCATGGTGGAAATTGGAATAAGTATTTTGACGTTGTAAAATTTTTAGCCGTTTTTGTGAAATTGATTAGTAAATGCATTTCAAAAGTATTTATTTGAAGTGTGAAAGGAGAATAATTAGAAGAACATGGATATTTTTGTTCCAAAAGCTTATTATGTGAGACATGATCGGTACTAACGGGTACTTCTAAGAAGTAGTGAAGAAGTACCAAACAGCCTGCTCGGCTACGATCGTCAGCTGTCCTTTGGAGCTGGACTTCAACGCTGTAAAAAAAATATGTGCTGAATTAATTTTTAGTTTCACCAAAATATAAGCATTTTATCATTTCTTTTTCACTTTTGTAATTATTGTTGAGTGAAGAGACATGTTGCTAGTTCTGACAATATAAATTATAAAACGAAATGCAACGATAAATATCTGCTACTAAATTATCACTTTAACCAAATACATGGAGAATCATGCTACCATTGCTTATAAAACGTGCTTATCAATACACAAATGTTTTATTTCAGACAAGAAGGATTTATTTGCCTGAAGTCTTGCGTCATGTGCTACTGCTTTGATTCCAAAGACGCTCTCCGGGTCGGGGTAATTTAGTTCTTCATCGATCGATAAGAGATTTTGATTCCATTGATATCCAAATTGATAAGCTCGGCACCATGGAGTAAGGGCGTCCCCACAGGGGTGACGCAGGAAATATGAATGGCGTTTACACCGACAGTAGTTTCCCACAGCCGGCAATGGGAATCTCCTGTCGGTGTAAACGCCACTATAGTCCCATCCAACTCAAATACTGGGGAATATCCCCGCACTTTTGAGGACGGAAATCTATGGACCCGCTCGAAAAATAGTGGATAAAATGCGGCGAGCTTTCAGTTTTATGGTTGGGTCTCCCTTCCGAGGCACATATTTACGGGGGATATTGGGTCATATTCCCCCGGCGTCCTGATGATCGGCGCCCAGCTCAACGTCGAAGGCGCCCTGATACGCGGCACTGCTATCTGTGAAGGTGCCCAGGTTGCTGCCGCTCGAATTTTGGTCGCCTACTTAACAAAACCTCCGTTGGTGCCATCTCAGTTTCCTCGAGGTCAGGCAACCTTCACACGCCGTTGGCTACCTTGGCTGGCCGGCGACTCGTTCCCCTCGTGGCGACGCTCTTGACATCCAGTCAAAAGTTGGAGTGGCTGGCGCCCCCAGTGGGGGCCGGGGAAGGGGCAGTGGGCCTCCACGTTGCTCTCTTCCCGAGCCTATGGTGACTTGGCTCAACTCTCCTCAATAGAATCTGGATTCTGCACGCTGTATTAACATGGGCGTAGATACCACTACGGACAATACGGACAGTGGGTGTGACAATCAGTAGTGCCATTCATATAGAGGGTGTCATATATGAGCGGAGAGGCAACAGTACAGCTGAGCGGAGAGACAACATTAAAACAACAGTACAGCTGGCGTTGCATGGAGCTGCAGGCAACCGGACAGCGGAGGCTTGCGAAAAATAAACAATTCGTCACTTCAACGTATAAACAATAGTATAAAAAGCAACATAAACACATATTCTCATGGTCGAACCCATGCACTAGCGGCTCACGGCGGGCACAGGCACGCAGTGCGGTAGCGGTACCGGATCACACGTCATGGGCGTTGTCTCAGCATAGGTTGTTATGAGCGGAGAGGCAACAGTACAGCTGAGCGGAGAGACAACATTAAAACAACAGTACAGCTGGCGTTGCATGGAGCTGCAGGCAACCGGACAGCGGAAGCTTGCGAAAAATAAACAATTCGTCACTTCAACGTATAAACAATAGTAAAAGCAACATAAACACATATTCTCATGGTCGAACCCATGCACTAGCGGCTCACGGCGGGCACAGGCACGCAGTGCGGTAGCGGTACCGGATCACACGTCACGGGCGTTGTCTCAGCATAGGTTGTTATGAGCGGAGAGGCAACAGTACAGCTGAGCGGAGAGACAACATTAAAACAACAGTACAGCTGGCGTTGCATGGAGCTGCAGGCAACCGGACAGCGGAGGCTTGCGAAAAATAAACAATTCGTCACTTCAACGTATAAACAATAGTAAAAGCAACATAAACACATATTCTCATGGTCGAACCCATGCACTAGCGGCTCACGGCGGGCACAGGCACGCAGTGCGGTAGCGGTACCGGATCACACGTCATGGGCGTTGTCTCAGCATAGGTTGTTTGCAATCTAGTTGAAGCCTAAGAAGACGGCCAGTGGGGTCTCACTGCTGCTGAGGCGACCTCGGAGACGATGCGTCGCCCCTCCTGTCGGCGACCTGCGGTGAGCAGGACTCCAGATCGCTGTCTGGCACGTTGCCGACACTGCCAGACGCTGTCAGCAGGCCTCACTGCTGCAAGTGATGTGCAGATGGACGCCAGGTGACTTCGTCTGCAGGCGATTCCGGAGACCGCGGCCTCACCAGGCAGTACCACCTGCATCGCCATGTCGGTGTTTCTAGAAATGGAAAAATAACAGTATCGGTGAAGGACAAGCAATACAATGTATTCTGTTTTCCTCTCTTGCAGGTATACGTAATCTACAATTATCATTGTTCCGATTTAATTCAACTGAACCTGAAAATTCCATATTGGCACATTGTTTGACTAAATTTGTGTAGTTGGGAACAGGGGCGACGCCACGAAGCGAATCCCCTCCGTCCCCCCCCCCCCCTGTGGCGACGCCCTTGGTTGGGAAGCAGATTTTTTTAAATACATGTTTGGCTGAACAGTGCGGAAAATATTTCATTGATCACTATAGCTGCAACAAAAATACTGACACAGAAAACATTTGCGCTTACCTGGCTCCTTAGTCAGTCCCGCACAACGGAAGTGGTACCATTTATCGCAGCCGTTGCATCCGACCATCAGTGCTGCACTGATGCTGCTGCACTCCCCACATTCCCAGTACCTTAGGAGCGTCTTGGCTGTGAAAAGATTACATGAGTCATGGCGCATACATGAATAGTAGGATGTTTTATATGTTTAACATCGCATAGCAAAGACACAACAGCTGGGAGTCAAATGTAAGCCAAAGTGTAAGCCCTGCCATGTTTTGCAGACTGGATTTTGAGCAAGAAAAGCTTTGCTAAAAATGACGCTTGACGAAGCCTCATCCTACTGGGCTGTCTGACATGTCTCCCTGTAAAAGCATGTGGCCCTTATATTGTATATATGATGAATATGTTAATAACGCAGAGAAAACACAGTATAAATTATACCCAACGTTTCATCTTAATCGACTTTGTCAAGGGTGTTTGAACAGCTTGAGATGAGTGAAGTGGAAGGGTACCTAGGTACATCTGAAAATAAACTGAATCTGCGTTCAATAAACATTGATTTTGATAATACATTTCACAAATCAACTGCTAATAACAATCATACTAAAATAGCACGACAGATAACTAACAATCGCATGAAGAACTTCTTGATTCGCCTTGACATTGTCGTCCGAACGGGCTCTGGTATTAACTGGATAATTCGCCAGCTGACGCCGTATGGTGGCGCTAGTGGAGCAGCACCATATGACGTCAGCAGAAAACACCGTGAGCAGCTATGAAATGGGAACGAGCACCACGGAAATATCGAAAGGTGATGGACATGTACTGACTTTGGTCATTCAAGTACCACCAACACCATACAAAAACCATATAATATTATCAAGACTGATTCTGGAATCGATTTGTTCGGGTATTTAAAACACAAAAAAAATGTTTGTTACCGAATTCTGAAACAGTATAAGGATATTCTTGTTCCTTACTTTTGCCTTGTGGAGTACTTTTACTTGCTTTCTAGTGCGCCCATCACTATCTTGAAATCTGGATTGCAACGCTGTAGGAAAACTTTATTTCATTTGTCATTTCTTCCACTTTTGAGCAGTGATAATTTATTTGGGTTTATACATTCAATAATGAAGACGGCTCCTAACTTTTTAGGGATCTGCAGTGGCTCTGAGAGTAAAATCAGATATTTTCTAGAAACTTGAGGCCACTATTTTCTTATATGCTAGATAATATACAAATATTGACATGTAAAGAATGATACGGGTGTATAATTCTGCATAAATATCAATTCAAAGTATTTAAATTTTTCAAGAACCTTTTTAATTCTTCCATAATGACTTCTTTCAATACAAGCTGGAAGCAATTTCAATCAATAAAGCAGCACAAGGCAGTACATTGAGCTACAATGATCCATAACCAATCGGCACCTGCAATTTGATTGATCTTCGAGATGTACCCTGCCTGTTTCCTGACTTTCCCTTTTCGTTGTACTGGGTGAAGTGAATATTCTGTGAATATTCTTCTGACAGTCAGTTTTTAATCCTACATTATGTTGTCAATCAGATTTAATTGGTTCAAAAACCGTCGTAGTCCGTCTCATTCGCAGTCTACATCTCCACATGCGCACCCATACATGCTCAAAATTTTCACTACGTATGTACTATGTACCCTGCAGCGTATCCTGATGAAAAATGTTTTGTTGAAATCAGAGACACTTCCCAAGGTAGGCCATAGTACATGGCCATATATTTAAGTCAAAACAGATAAACAGATAAACACAATTCCAATCATCAAGTCAACCAGCATCGACAATCTGCACATAAGTTCTAAACCTATTGTAAGACTACTTTGTATTCAAACTTTGTATTGCAGAAGGGTGGAAGCTGCATGGAATTATGCGACAATTTCAGCGTGCATCCACGCTCGAAAGAGCAGGGTTAATTGTAACAATGTCAATACCATAATAACGTAATTGTAGGTGTTGTGATTCGGTTGTCTCTTGTCTGTGCTGGCCATTGCGCGGGCGGTCCAGCGGCGGAACTCGGCTTCGCCGCCG